CTCAAGTCCCCCACCTACTCCGCCCCCCCCCTTGTCCGACCCTACTGGTCGAAAGGGGCCTCGATCAACTGGTGCAGCTGTCCCTCACTGAGAGGGATGATGGGGCCCCGAAATCCGAGCTCGTCCGCCGCCAAGGCCTCATTGGTCTTGGTGCGGAAGGCGTTGGCATGCGCCCACTGGAGGCACACGCTCCAGCGATGGCGGTACACCGTCAGCAGCTTCGCTGCTTCGTAGGAGGTAGGTGCTGCGTTAAAACGCAGCTTTGCCGCCAGCTCCGCGCATTGCCGCAGGTAAGCCATCAACCCTGGCGAGGGGTAGCCGTAGGTTTCTACTGCAAGCGCGTGGAACCCCACCCACGCGTTCCGACGAGCGTACTTCTCCTCCTTTTTTGCCGCTGCCGCCCTAGCCGCCCATCCAGGAGCTCGGTTGCAGTTCTCGTCCTGGTAAGACACCGGGTCCGTCACGGTCACGTCGCACATCCAAACCTCTCCAGTCAGGGGATGACGGATGGTGACATCCGCCTTTAGGTTTTCAACCAGGGAGTAGACATACGTCTCCTTGTGAACCGTAAACCCCGCCTCAGCCCCTATGTTCGCAATCTCATCCCGCAGAGCGTGATGGGTTGCGGTCCTCCCTTTCCCCTTCTCGCAGCGCATGAGGTGGTTGGGGAGGCGATCGTCGGGGAAGGTGGTGCGGTAGCGGCAGTCACAGCGTCTAGGCACGGGGAGGGGAAGGCCTAGGCGGAAGGCAGCTGCAGTAGAGAGCTGGGATGGGCCCATCCGGAGCGAGGGGATGAGCGGGATCGCCAGCAGCCAGTCCCCCGCGCCTGGGCCTAGCACCGACTGCATCCTTTGCGCGTGGCCAGAACGGGGGTTGGGGCGCATCCGCCTTGCCTCGCGCATGACTCTCAAGAAGCGGTGGGAGTGAACCGCCAGCGCTAGGCTCTGCTGCAGCTTCAGTCCCTTGGGGTCTGCCTTCCCGGCCTGGAGCACCTCGAGGGCCTCAGGGGGGAGAGCTGCCTCAGCCGCAGCGAGGCGTGCAGGCAGCGCGTGCGGAGAGCCGTGGGTCGGGTCCAGTAGGGGGAGGAGCGTGGCGACAGCAGGGTGCAACGAGTCCTCCAGGGAGTGCAGGAGGTGGGCGGCGCTGATCACTGAAGCGAGGTAGGCGTAGCTGCTTTCAACAGCGGGGTCAGTGATGCCCAGACCTCCCAGAGTCACTGGCAGGGCTGCCTGCCGCCAAATCCTCCGTCTCTCCCTGGCACTCCTCGGGCTCATGATGTGAGCCGAATCCAGGAAGGTGTGTAGAAGCTGTTCCCCCCAAGCAGACCATTCTGCTTCAGGGAGGGCCTCCAGGGGGGTGGTTCTGGCCAGAAAGGATGCTCGGCGGCTGACACAGCGGGTGAGGAGGAGGAGACTAAGCTGGGGATCCATCTGGGCCAGCAGGGGGAGTGGGGCTGCCGCTGCTGTCAATCTCTCTCTCACAGCGCCTGCGCAGCCCCGGGGTGTGCCTACTGGGCTGCCGAGAATCTGCAACCCCTCTTCAGAGATACTAATGCCTGGGGGAACTGAAGAGGGGTCGATTGCTGCGGCAGACCACGCCGCGCACTTTCCCGGGTTGTGTACCAGGCCGAGGGCGGCTAGTGCAGATGTGAGGTGGACAAAGGCCGCTGTGCAGGCCGTGGCGTCGCCGAGCAGCGTGATATCATCGGCGTACGCCAGCAGGACCACCTGAGGGTGTGCTGCCGCCGTGTCAACGAGGCACGGGTGGATGCTTGCCGCGAACAGGAGGGGGCCGAGCGGGTCCCCTTGGCGGACTCCTCTGGCGCTCTGCAGCGGGGCGGCGCCGAAGTCGTGGTCGAGGTAGAGGGAGGAGGGAGCCCCATAGGATAGGCGGACGAGGGGGATCAGATCCTTCAGCGCCTCGTTCTTCAGCCCCTCGAACACCGCTCTCCTATCGACCGCATTGAACGCGTTCGCGAGGTCAATCTGCAGCGCCACTGCCCCTGGGTGCACTTCCAGGTACGTGCGAGCGGTGTGGATAGCCGCTTCGATCCCCCCTGCTACTGCTACTCCGAACTGAAGGGGAGCAAAGTGAGTACGAGCGGCCGGCGCGGTCAAAAAAAGAGCGGCTTTGGTAATAATCCGGAGGAGACACTCTCCCACCGCGATCGGCCTCGTCCCTCCTTGAGGTTTCGTAAAGGCTAACAGGCGGGAGGCCGTTAGGAGTTCCCCTGCGACAGTGGGGAGTTTTCCTGCTAGAGCCGTGTTAGAGAGGGCGAGGAGGTGGGTGAGTACTTCGGCATTCCCAAAGGCTGCGTCGCGGATGTGCTTGAAGGTGGTTCCTGAAGGCCCGGCCCCGACTCCGTTGGGGAGCTTGGCGAGGAGACGCCTGAAGTCGCGGGCTTCGATAGTGGGTGGGTCTTCCGCCGTGGCAGTGTGGAGCCAATCAGGGAGTAGTTGGCAGGCAGATGGGTGTCTCGCCGTGAGGGCTTCCAACACTTCAGGTGAGGCTGGTGACACAGGAGTGGCCTGGAGGGATTGAAGTGATTTTGACAGGTTACCCCATTTTGCCAGTCCTTCCGCCCTTGCCAGAATTCCAGTTGTGTCAGGTGCGTGGCGAGGTTGCGGTGGCAGGGAAATCGCCTGGACAGCTTCTTCGTATAGGTCGGCCCAGAACCCTTGGCGAAAACGCAGGAGCCGGTTCATCATCGCGCTCCAGTCAGGCTTACGGGCTGACGAGGTGCGAAGAAGTAAGCGTGGGAGGAAGGTCAGTAACTTCCACCCAGGTGGAGACTCGGGACTGGCCGCCAGGTGGAGTAACGGTGTCAACATGCAGATCGCGAAGGAGTCGCGAAGGTCTTTGGGGGGGTGGCGGGCGAGAGGAGGTTGGCGACTGTCGCGCAACGGGTCAAGGTCCCAGTCTGCGACCTGGGCGAACAGGTCAGTGTTTTTCGCCAGGTCGTCAGGTTTGAGCATCGGGGGGGTTGGATTAGGGGCTGCTGAATTTTCAATGGCCGCTGCAGAGTCAATTCCATCTTCTGTCGCGGCTCGATTTCCCCCCCTTGCACGATTTCCCCCCGCGGTTCGATTTCGATTTGTGGTTCGGTTTGCGGGGTCGCCTCGGGCCTGCTGGTTTGGGAACTCCACTTCCCGAAGCAGCAGCTCCAACTCTACCTCGTCCTCCTCGGCCTCTGCTTCTAACATCCCCTCTCTTTCTGGGTTAAAAGCAGGGTCACCCCCTTCGCTTTCTTCGTTCTCGACTTCGTCCTCTGCTTCCTCGATGAGTACCTCCTCGCCGCCTTCCGCACCTCTATCTCTCTCTCTTTCCCTCCCCCCTTCTCTCTCTCTCTCTCTCTCTCTCTCTCTCTCTCTCTCTCTCTCTCTCTCTCTCTCTCTCTTTATCTCTCTCTCTCTCTCGGTTCATGTTCCTCAGGTGCTTCATGCTGGAGTTAGTAACCCCTGGAGGCAGGATGAGGAGCTTCAGTGAGGTGAGAGCAGTTAAGTGCTGCAGCCCGTCCTCCCTCACTCCAGTGTCATTTAGGGTGAGAAATTCTAGTGATGTCATGTTGCCCACATGCACCATGCTGGCAGAGGTGACCGCGGGACAGTCGTCTATGAACAGTCTCTTAAGTGCAGGCAACCACTCCAGCTTCGCTATTCCCGCATCAGTTATCTCGGTGTCTGTGAGATAAAGTTCCTGAAGGTTCCTCAGCCCAGCAATGCCTTCAAGAGCAGCGTCTGTTGTGGCCGTACCCCAGAGATCAAGAACCATCAAGCTGGTGAGAGAAAACAGCCCTCTCACTCCCGCTTCAGTGAACCCAGAGGAGTTTTTGGGGTTCAGTACGGTTAGAGAGTGCAAACTGCGGAGTTTGGAAAGAGCAGTGTCGGTGAGGCAAGGGACGCCACTGAGGTTCAAGTATGTGACGTGTGGGACGGCTTCGCTCCAAAGCGTCATTAGTGCCTGCAGCCACGGATAACAGCAGGTTTCAACATGAAGAGGGAGTGGCATGAATCATGATCACCTAGCATGATTTACGGCTTGTCTAATGCAACATGGCCATGAAAAGGCTGCACAGCAAAACATGCCTACAGCGCGCTGCGACGAATGCGCGACTGGTCGGGCCCGCCATGGCGACGTAGCTCGGAGGGGAAGATAGCCGTGGAAAAACAACTAGAAGAGAAACAGAAGAATATAAAAAACGTAGACGTAAGAGAATTGATAGGAGAGATTGAAGGTTCAAATAGATGATGAAAGGATTCTGGGATTATAACGAGAGCATAAAGTTATTTAAAGATGATGTAACAAGAGCGAATCGGGGGGGGGGAAACCCGTGTCGTGTCAGAACTAACGAACGAGAATGAATGAACTAGCAAAGAGTTGGGTACAAGTACTAACCCTAATTGGGTTGTACCCCTTATAGGCTACCCCACTATAGCCTACACAATATAAGCTATACAACATTTTGACATGTCGCCACTCCTTCAGCATGGCATCTTGGCATAGCGCCTCGATGCCACGCTCTGCTAGATTCTAGGGTATGACGGGGATAGGGGCGACTGATGCATGCTAGCAAGTGTTGCTATTCGGAGCTAGCTAGGCAAAGCCGTCTTTCGCTTTGCGGACATTTCCATGCATACCACATGGCGAATTCCCATCCTGTTACACCCATGCATCCGTGGGTGCCACACAGGCTCTAGGTGATAGTGGCAAAAACGGTTTGTTCACGCACACTAACAAAGGAAATGGTTTTTTAACGAACGAAACAACGACCATCCAGACCACCGCGCACTCACCTCCCACGTCTTTCCTCCTACAACTCTCATTGCCTCCAGTGCTTCCACTCGCGTCCTCAGCCCCTTCAGCTCTCCATCTGTGTCGCACGCAGCACTATTCCCCACCCCCTGCGCTCCGCCCTGCCTTTCCGCCTCATTCCTCGTTTCAACTGGCCGGGCACCACGAGCTGCAATCAACGCATGTCCAGCCGCATCTACCATCCCCTCCTATTTCCCCGCCGCCTCCCGCTTCCGCTTCTTCCCCTCATGTTGCCTCTCAGGCCCCTCATGCTCCCCCCCGCTGCCCGCCGCCCTGCGCTCGGTGCGGCTCCTCCCCGCGCCACCGTCCTCGAGCGCGGCGAGCGCGAGCTCGACGTCGTTGATGCGCGCCTCCAAGTGCGCCACCGTCACCGTCACATACGCCACCTCCGCCGCCTGCCGCTCCGCCGCAGCCCTCCATCGCGCAAGTTCCGCCTTCAGCGCGCCCACATCCCCGCGCATCTCACTCGCTGTGTCCCCCGCCTCCCCCCTCGCCGCTTCCACCTGCAGCTTCACCTCCTTCACTTCAAACGCAAAAAAACCGTAATCCCGTGCTCCATTCAGCGGCTGCGCTCCAATGCCTTCCGTTGCCTCCCCCAACGCGCTCTCTTTTTCCGCCCCCTCCGCGGAAACACCCGTCGCAGCCATCCCCTTGAGCTGAGCCATGGCGCGGCGCATGTTGGCCATGTCGCGCTGCATGGCAGCCATGGCGTCGCCTTGCCCCCTTAGCTTCGCCTCCAACGCCGCCACGTGCTCCCCCACTCCGCCCGCCATCTCCTCCACCTGCATCTTCAACACGCCGCTCACGAGCCGCAGCTCCATATCCCGCGTTGTCGTCGCCATTCCCTTCTCAAACCCGTGCAGATTGTTCTTTTTTTTACTGCACGCTGCAAATTACGCAAGCTTACACCCAGCAAATAAACACTAGAGCACTCAATAATTCTTCTAAACGGAGCGGGAGGATAACAGTTTCGGTGTGGAAATGGGTGAATGTACTTCACGGAGGTGAAGGAACTTCGGCTTGTAGATTTTGTGCGTTGAAGCACGTTGTTGTTGGGTCTTGGGCGTGTGCTTGTTTCTAAACCCAGCACAAGCAAACCCCCCCAGCCAGAAAAATGAATTGGTAGAAAATAAAAAAAAGCGAGTTGCATCGTCGCTGATTACGAAGACGGTCCGATCTGGAAGGCATGCTGGGGGCTCTTGAAAATGAAGTAAAGGATGAGAAAGGGTAAATAGCAAGTAGAAATAAAATACCTAGAAGAAAGAGTTAAGATTGAAACAAGACAAAGTTGATAAGATAAAGAAACTCTTGAAGTAGAGATTGATTTAGAATGTAAAGGCTTTAAATGAGAAGGTTAAAGATAAGATATTAATAAACTTGAAAGAAAGATGACGAAAACATTAAAAGGAAAGGAAAGATTAACTAAAAGGAAGATCTTGAATAAGTGATTGATGAAGAGGTAAAGGGGCTTGAAAATAAAACAAACTTGATAATAGCAAATAAGATTTGAGAAGAAATGTGACTTGATAAGAATGAAGAAGCCTTAAATAAAGAAGCTTGAATAGGGAAGAATCTTGAATAGAACAAGAAAGCTTGAATAGGGAAGCTTGATAAAACAAAGAAGCTTGAATAAAGAAGCTTGATAAGAATGAAAGAAGAAGTGACTTACCTTAAAAGATTCTTAGTTGTTATATTGAAGGAGCTTTGTAACTTGGATAAGCCAATCTTGAATTGTAGATCTTGACTGTTGAAAGGAGAATGGGATCCAAGCTTCAGTGCTGAATAGTTGATCTTGATTGTTGTATGGAGAAGAATCTCCAAGCCTGAGTGTTGAATGGTAGAGCTTGAATATTGATGATAAGAAAGACAAAGCTTGGTGTTGAAGCATTAAAACTTAAAATGCACTAGTCCAAAGGAGGTACATGATGGACTTGAGGAGCAACCATTAATAACAATCTAAAAGAAAGACCATGAAGCATAAACTTCTCTAGAGTTAGAGAACATGGCTATGACCTTGGGTTGGGAGAAGTTGGTGATAAGAGTGGAGCCTTAGGAGTTGGGCATAAGGAGGAGGACTTTGAAGGTGGCCTTGAGAGAGCTTGTAGTGGAACTTGTAGAGAGCTTGGGTGTAAAGTGACTTGAAGTTTGTTTTTGAGGAAATGAGGTGAATCCTTTTGTATTTGGTGGAGCTTGATGTTGGATGAAGGATGGGGAAAATATGAATGATTGTGATTGGTTGAGTTGGATAAGGTGGGGGTGATGAATGTGGCCTTGAATTGAAGGCTTGGTGAGGAGAATGAATGTGGTCTTGAAATTAAGGCTTGGTGAGTGGTATGAATTTGGCTTTGATTTTAAGGCTTGGTGAGTGGAAAGAATGTGGCTTGGATTTGAAGGCTGCTTGGATTTGAAGGCTTTGTATAGAATCTTTTGTTTGATTGGTGGATGATAGGATGGGAAGGATGATGAGGATAGGAGGAGAGATGAGGTGGAGGATTGATAAGTTTTGATTGGTGAAAAGATGATGATGCTTTGCTGTCTGGAGATATGAAGGGCCTGGTGGCGAGTGGGCATTTTTGCAAGATGCCTTTTGTAGGTTCGAATTTTGGCTGACGGGGAAACTGTGGCGAAAATTTTTCGCCACGTGAAATTTTGTCCCGCCACCCTGGTGCCACGCGAGCAGGTGCCACGCGAGCAGCTGCAGAAGTTCATTCCAGCAGAGGCATCCGACGTGTGACGCTCAATGCGCTACCAGATGTGCAGAACACAGTAGTGCGCTCTCTGTTAGGAAAATATTGAAAGGAACCATTATTGTGCAAGTGAGAGTTCAAAATGTTTTGACAGCTTTTATGACTCTAATATCCCTTTAACGTTTGATACCCTTCAAGGTGGCTATGCACGCACTTCTCTATCCAGTAAGGTAGATGTTTTTCTCCAAGTTTGTGAATCAGAAAAGTCGGCATCCATTACTACATTCTTATTGTTGGTGGAAACTGATGTCAAAATCCGTTGTATCTCCTCCGAGCCTCTGGTAGCCAATCATACACAGCATACTCACTCCCATCCACCCCCTGCAGCATTAAATCCAGCACCACAGTTAGGCGGATTGAAGACCATGCAATTCAGCAGAGGAGCATGCAGAGCTACATACCTGCATGCACGATTGAACGTGTGCTTTACTGTCAGGCAACATGCTCCAAAGGTCTATGGCGGCTGAGCCTCCTACCATGCGCAGGTGACGTGCTCCAAAGGCTTCAACGAGGGGTAGATGAAGGTCTGTAGCTCCTGCGCTGAGCCTGCTCCTGGAAGCTTGCCCAGCACCACCACCCATTTGTCTCCTACATCCACTGCTGCTGCAGCTAATACAGTTGCATTTGCTCCTGAAGGTGCTCCGAGAGTGAAATTTGGATTGACAGTGGGGAAGCCATTGCTGCAGTGAGGGGCAGAAAGGGGAGGAGGGTGTGGGTGGGAGAGTCAGGTCAGGATATAGAAGGATTGGACAGGAAAACGTTGAGGGATGAAATGGTGAATGAGCCAGGGATATAAGTAAGACCAAGGACGAGCAAGCAGAAGTCAGGGGGGAGTGAAGAGGGAGTATGGGGGAGAAGGAAGGAAATAGAGGAAAGGGGCAAGTCTATGGAAGAAAGAGAAAGCGGGGAAGGAAGAGAGTGCGTTTAAATGAGTGCTTGAAGATGGGAGGGAGGAAAAGGGAGAGGTGCCGATGCAGAGGAGGGAGGAGGGAGGATGGAGTAGGGAGGATGGGGAAGGAGGTGTTAGAACTTGAGCTGAAGGCTCTTTAAGTACATTGGAAATGGGCAAGGCCAGGGTGGGGAGAGAATCGGGGGCAATCCTAGGGAATTGGGGGTAATCCCAAGGCAATCTCCAATTGGTGGGTTGGAGATTGCTTGGAGATCACATTTGGGTTTGGTTGGGATGTGGGTGTACACCCAACCAAACACAAAGTGCAAACTACACTAAACTAGGATATAAAAAGTACAACTACAAATGTGAGATTGAGGGCTAACATTAATACCCCCCCATCGGCGTCAATCGAACTCATGGCAGAGAAGGTGGAGCGCAGAGCCCCATGGCGCCTAGAAGGCGATGGTGAGGAACCTTCCTAAGGGGCTTGGTGAACAAATCAGCCAATTTGCAGTCAGAAGCCACATACTCAACATTGAGCTGCTCCCGCTGGACAAGGTCACGGATGAAGAAGTGCCGAAGTTCGATGTGCTTGGTGCGAGTGTGGTACACGGGATCCAAGGAGAGGTGGATGGTGCTCTTGTTGTCACACCAGAGGGTGGGAGTGGGCGTAGGGTAGCCAAGATCCTGGAGTAGGAAGGTGAGCCAGCGGGCCTCCTGGGCCGCCATGGTGCCAGCATAGAGCTCTGTCAAACTATATGTTTGTGTTCTCTCTAGGCTATAGTGGGTTAGCCTACAAGGGGTGCAACACTTTAGGGTTAGTACTTGTACCCAACTCATTCATAGTTCATTCATTCCTGCACAGTTATCCTGACATGGTATTCAGAGCAGGAAACCTGTTAAGTTTTTAGGGCCCACCAATAGTTCCACTCGTTCCTGCCCGAAGCACCCTTGCGCTGTCCGGCCCTGCTCGCACAGTGTTGCGCTGCCCTGCAGCTACTCGCACTGCCTGCCCCCCGCACGTCGTGCCCTGCTGCAGCCTGTGCGTCGTGCTTTGCTGCTCCGCGCATCACGCCCTGCTGCAGCCCGCACGTCGCGCCCTGCTGCAGCCAGTGCGTCGCGCCCTACTGCAGCCAGTGTGTCGCGCTCTGCTGCCCTGCGCGTTGCGCCCTGCTGCAGCCAGCGCGTCGCGTCCTACTGCAGCCAGCGCGTCGCGCCTTGCTGCCCTGCGCGTCGCGCCCTGCTGCAGCCAGCACGTCGCGCTCTGCTGCCCTCCACGTCGCGCCCTGCTGCAGCCAGCGCGTCGCGCCCTACTGCAGCCAGTGTGTCACGCTCTGCTGCCCTGCGCATCGCGCCCTACTGCAGCCAGCGCGTCGGGTCCTACTGCAGCCAGCGCGTCGCGCCCTGCTGCCCTGCGCGTCGCGCCCTGCTGCAGCCAGCGCCTCGCGCCCTACTGCATCCAGCACGTCGCGCTCTGCTGCCCTCCACGTCGCGCCCTGCTGCAGCCAGCGCGTCGCGCCCTACTGCAGCCAGCGCGTCGCGCTCTGCTGCCCCGCGCGTTGCGCCCTGCTGCAGCCAGCGCGTCGCCCCCTACTGCAGCCCGCGCGTCGCGCTCTGCTGCCCCGCGTGTCGCGCCCTGCTGCCCTGTCCACCGCGCGCCCTGCTGCCCTGTCCACCGCGCGCCCTGCCCTGCAGCCCGCGGCGCGCCCTGCCCGGCCGAGCCGCGCCGCCCAGCCCGAGCCGCCCTGCCCAACCTGAGCCGCGCCGCCCTACCTCGATCACCAGCCCCACCGAGCCGCCCTGCTGCTACTACTGCTGGTGCTGCTGCTCATGCTACTGCTGCTTCTGGTGGAGGTGCTGCTGGGAGTGGTGGGAGTGCTGCTGGGAGTGGTGGGAGTGCTGCTGGTGCTGGGGGTGCTGGAGGTGCGATTGGGAGTGCTGGAGGTGCTGCTGATGCTGGAGGTGCTGGACCTACTACTGACTGTCACTGCCTGTCATGGCCACTATCACGGCAGTTGCAGCGGCTAGGGGTGGACAGCGGCGGTCACTGCCTCTCCCGGACGACCCCACCCCTCAGCAGCTTTGCGAGTGGGTTCTTCAGCGAGCCCATCCACGTGGTGGAGGCTTTGGTTTTTTACGTACTGCATAAAGGCAGCAGCAGAGTCAGCAGGAGACCTTCTCC